AAGGGGAAGTCCCCAAGGTAACGGTCTGCTGCTCCCTGCTGCGGGACGGGGATGTTCTGCACATAACCTGTGCTCAGCCCTCTGCTCGCCGACCCATATCCTGCACTCGAGGCCCTTTGCCCTGCATTCCCAGCCCTGCACCCAGTACAGCCCTGTGCCCAGTACAGCCCCGTGCCCTGTGCCCAGTACAGCCCTGTGCCCTGTACAGCCCCGTGCCCTGTGCCCAGCCCTGTGCCCAGTACAGCCCTGTGCCCTGCGCTCCCAGCCCTGTGCCCAGTACGGCCCTGTGCCCTGCGGTCCCAGCCCTGTGCCCTGTACAGCCCTGTCCCGGCACTCATGGCCCTATGCCGTGTATTCAGTCCCATGCCCTGTACAGCCCCGTGCCCTGTGCTCACAGCCCCGTGCCCTCTGCTCATAGCCCTGTGTCCCATGCTTACAGCCCCATGCCCTGCACTCTCAGCGCTATGCCCTGTACAGCTCTGTCCCTGCACTCATGGCCCCAGGCCCTGTATTCAGCCCCATGCCCTGCACTCAATCCCGTGCCCTGCTGTCACAGCCCTGTTTCAGGACAGCTGCAGTGCTGAGCAGCAGCTCATGGCTCTCCTGCAGCAATGTTTTCTCTTTAGCACTCATCAACAAGCACCAGCACAGGTCCCACTGTGTTAATTGTGCACCGCTCATTATACACATGTGATCCTCCCAAAAGACTCTGGGGGGGAGTCACAAACTCCTCGGTGTGCCTGAAGCTGTGTTTGGGTCATGTGGAATGGTGTGTCTCAGCCCTGTGTGCCTGGGGGTTTTGGGAACATCTCCAGTGCCTGTTCAGAGGTGATGGGCAGCAGAATTGCATCCAAAATAAAGTGAGAATCTGTGCCAGGTGCTGTGCACGGGACATGGCCCATGGTGCGAGGAGGCTGAGCAAGGGGGAGGTGACAGGCAGGTGTCAGGGAAAGACTCCATCATGTCCCTTGAGGGCTGAGGCACGTGGGAAGGAGCAGGTGTTCCTGTGTGTGACTGTCTTGTGCAGCGCTCAGGGAGTTTGCACGAGAAAATTGGGTGTGAAGACATCCCCAGGTGTTTTCTTAGACATGAAACAAAACCTCTGATGCTTCTACCTTGCAGGTCCCTGTGGCCTTCAACGATGCTTCGTTTAGCTTCTCTGAGGAGGAGTGGAAGAGCCTGAACGAGTGGCAGAAGGAGCTTTACAGGCACATCATGAAAGGCAACTACGAGGCCGTCATCTCCATGGGTAACGATGGGCTGGGGTTTGCCCTGAGCCTTCTGGTGCACCAGGTTTTCCCGGGAACTGAAGGATGGAAGCAGCGCTGTGTCCAGCAGGATCAGGGAGGGGATGGTGTGCTGGTTTGGGATGGTGTTACAGAGTCCTGGCAATGAGTTCAGCCCTCACCAGCTCAGGTTAAGGGTAGAAGCACATCATGAGCGTCACTGCAGGGGCTGTGGCTCCCTGAAAGTCCCTGTGGCTGGGTGAGTGCCTGGGCTGTGAGGAGGAGGAGGAGGAGTGGAAGCAAGAGGACCCTCAAACCAAGCAAAACTGGGGAAGAGGGAAGTTCCTTTGTCACGCCAAGGTCCACAGATCCACTGCGCTGGGTGCATCAGCCCGCTGGCCAGTTAGGGCACCAGAGGGTTGCCCTGTGCCCTGCCTCTGAGGTTCCTTCCAGCCCTTTCCGTGAGGGAGAAGTGAGGTTTGCCAGCGCTGCCTGGGCTCTCTGACCCCAGGGAGCAAGTCCTGCTCAAGCTATTGCGGGATCTGCTGGGGTAGAGCTGGGGACGAGCAGCAGGCAAGATTGAGCTCTGCCTTCTGCTTTCCCTTCAGCAGCTCTGGGTACCATGTTCCTGGCTAAAGGAACGTGCTCCGCTTGCTCCTGCCAGTCCTGGCTGCGGGAATTCCCTCTGGGGGACACGGTGCCTTCACAGCATGTTCTCAGAAATGACCTTGCCTTGGCGGGTGGGAGCACAGACACTGTCCCTGGCAGCCAGACACTTCCCCGTGCTGAGTGCAGGCTCCCCTGCCTCCGTGCCATCCAGCTCTGCCCGACCCAGGCCTTTTGTCCTTTTTTTTACCCCCTTTCTTCCTTTATTTCTTTGAACAGAGGTCTCTTGCAGTCCCTGTGCTCCAGGGAAAAAGACGAAGGGTAAACACTGCTCCCCATTCTCCTGTTTACAACCCAATCCTGCATCCTGCTCCCGAGGTGCGGGAACGTAATTGTCTCACGGAAGGGATCTGGGGATTTGAGCCTGGAGCTTAGAAAAATGTATCTGTGCTTCATCCAAAGGTTTCCTTTGAGAAATGAGGTTTAGGGGTTTAGCTCTCATGTAAGGCAGATGGATCCACTGGAGCAGAGGTGGAATTTAATACCCAGAGACTCCCATGTGTCTGGAAATGAAGTTTTCCGCTCTCCACCCAAGGAGAGATGGTGATTATCCCCTTTCCCCCACCCAAATCCACGAGCAGCCTGTGACTCGGACGAGTAGGACGGAGCGGTCCTGGCTGGAGGGAACCGCACGGGGAGGGCACTTCCCCTCTGCCTCTGCTGACAGCTCTGGTGCTGTCCCCGAGCTGAAGTCCCCATTGTAATGGATCCGCGGACCTTAGCAGAGAGGAGAAGACAGGAAGCCTGGAGGTAAGCGCAGATGCATTTTCTTATTCTCCTCCTCACGCTGTAGGCTGGGAGGTGCTCCTCACCTGAGCAGAGTGTGCTCCTGCAGTCGCTCATGTCCCCAGGGCCCACACCAGGTGAGCGGTGCAGATGGGTGAGAGCATCTTCCTAAGCCTCTCTCTTTCCGTTTCCCAGCAAAGGAAGGTTGGTGGGCGAAGGTTTGAGAATTCCTCTCCCACAGCGGCAGGGGAAACGTTCTGATCCTCTTTTTACATGCAGACGCTGCCATTTCCAAGCCTGACCTGCTGTCACGGATTGAGCAGGGAGAGGATCCCAATGCCGAGGATCAGGAGGACTCTGAGGGAGGAGAGACCCCCACAGACCCCAGTACTGGTGAGCCACAAGATTCCTGAGACTCGGAGGAGGTGGAAGCAGACCTAAAGGCAATTCTGCCTTTGAGTTTTGCCAGCTCTGTCCTCGGGTACAGGGTGACTTTCCTTTCCCAGTTGTCTCCCACCCGATGCATCCATGCCTCCTGGAATCCTCTGAAGCAGCTGGGAGGTGGGAGTGTAACTCCTGTTGTTTTCTCTTGCACAGAGTTTTTCTTCCCTGGGCCTGATGACAGCTCATGGGGTAAATATGAAGAGACTCTGGCTGAAAGCCACGAAGGCTCTGAGGAAGAGGAGAGCATGGAGGTCCCTGGTACATGTGAGTCCCTGTCGCTCCAGAGACCCCTGAGCCGCTTTGGAAAGTGGCCCTTGCTTGAATGTGTCTTTGGCTTCCCAGTCTCATTCTCAGAAGCAGCTTAGCTGTTCTGGATTATGCTTTTCCAGAATTTCAGCCTTGGTAGTTGCTTTAAGTCACTGTTTATCCCGTGGGAAATCCTTCTGCTCCAGAGCCTGTACAAGCCCATAAGGAAAAGAAGTTTTTTTCCACTTTACTCAAATTTTTTGCCTTTGTTCTAAACCACATGTTCTTAAAGACCTGTCCTGCTTTGCCTCCTGCTGAGGAACCCACTTTTTCCTTTTGGCTAGCTATATATAGCTAGATTGTGTGT